CTTGACATCAGGTTAGATGGTTTATCACTTGGAAACCTAACCTAACCTAACCTAACCTAACCTAACCTTGAGATGATCTCTGGGTTAAGTTATAGGATATGCTTTCTTGACATCAGGTTTAAATGGTTGTGGTCCTATAATGATCAATTTCTTTTGGTTTATAATTGGTTCGTTAATAGTTTGTTAATTGGTTCTTCATGATAATTCCTTCCTATTGTCTCATTGCTTTTTATTCCTTAATCTGATTCATTTACTCTCGTTTTTTTATATCTTATTCCTTCTTAGTTTGCAAAGGCATTGTTCATTATCTTATACATTATTCGTTAATGTTTCTTTATTGTTGTTTATTTCTTACTTCTGTTTCTTCGTTTTCTTGTCTTATTATCAGTTTTTCTCTCTCCTTCCTTATTCGTTATTTGATATTTTGTAAACATCAGTATTTGCTGCCTCTTGTATCTCTTAATTCCTTGTTCTTCGCCCTACAGAGGTTGGTAGGTCTTAAGTCCAACACCAGACTTGCTGGTTGGTCAGTAAGGTGTTGTGGTGGTCTTAATAACCCTCCAGAGGTTGATAGGCCTTAAGTCCAACACCAAACTTGCTGGTTGGTCACTAAGGTGTTGTGGTCTTAATAACCCTCCAGAGGTTGATAGGTCTTAAGTCCAACACCAAACTTGCTGGTTGGTCAGTAAGATATTGTGGTGGTTTTAATAACCCTCCAGAGGCTGATAGACCTTAAGTCCAACACCAAACTTGCTGGTTGGTCAGTAAGGTGTTGTGGTGGTCTTAATAACCCTCCAGAGGTTGATAGGCAGGCCTTAAGTCCAACACCAGACTTGCTGATTGGTCAGTAAGGTGTTGTGGTGGTCTTAATAACCCTCCAGAGGTTGATAGGCAGGCCTTAAGTCCAACACCAGACTTGCTGATTGGTCAGTAAGGTATTGTGGAGGCCTTAATAACCCTCCAGAGGTTGATAGGCCTTAAGTCCAACACCAAACTTGCTGGTTGGTCAGTAAGGTATTGTGGAGGCCTTAACAACCCTCCAGAGGTTGCCAGGCCCTAAACTCTACACCAAACCAATCACTGAGGGTTCGAGATCAGGGAACATTCTAGAACTTTGAATCCGGAAAGACTTTTTCCACTAGTCAACACGTTAACTTTTTTCCCCTTTCTTATGGCTTGAATATTTTAGCAATCTAGGATTTAGTTGCAGCTGTATAGATATGTCTACTATGCATATTGTTACATATCTATATATGTCTACTATGCATATTGTTACATATCATCTCATAGATTCATGAGGTTATTGTGACTACAATGTGCATTATGGTATGTGTGTTTTATTAATGCAAATGAACTTTTGTTGATAGAATGCACAAACAATTTAATCATTGCAAGTGTTGTTGTGATAGTGGATTGTATTTGCAATGCTTGATGTAGCATTTATTTAAAAAAATTACGTTTTTTTTTTTATTAAGAATGAAATTAAACTAATTATATTCCTTTCCAATAAGTTACATTCTGTTCTAAATGCTTTGCTAAATTTTCATTTCAGTACGTATATCCCTATTATTATGAGTATAATAAGTGAACATATTTTGTTCTTCGTTCTTAAGAAGATATCGTGTTCTTCACTAATAATAAGATATCGTGTTCTTCACTAATAATAAGATATCGTGTTCTTCACTAATAACAAAATATCTTGTTCTTCATTCAAAGCAAGATATCGTGTTCTACATTCAAAACAAGATATCTTGTTGTTCATTGAGAGCAAGATATCGTTTTCTTCATGCAAAGCAAGATATCGTGTTCTTCATTCAAAACAAGATATCTTGTTGTTCATTGAGAGCAAGATATCGTTTTCTTCATGCAAAGCAAGATATCGTGTTCTTCATTCAAAACAAGATATCTTGTTGTTCATTGAGAGCAAGATATCGTTTTCTTCATGCAAAGCAAGATATCGTGTTCTTCATTCATCCTTAACAAAATATACTACAACATTGCGTGTTTAATGAAATATGTTTATTTTTTTATTATTCATTATTCACAGGAAATAAATTTATTGAGAACAAAATATTCAGATTATTCAATGCATGTTTTTCTTCAGTTTCTTCTAAAAACACACACAAACTGCCTTGCCCCGCACGCTGGCGCTTGAAGAGTAAGTCTGGTTGTATTGTGTGTTGTAATGTGTGTGTTTTAGTATGTGTGTGTGTGTGTGTGTGTGTGTGTGTGTGTGTGTGTGTGTATGTGTGTGTGTGTGTGTGTGTGTGTGTGTGTGTGTGTGTGTGTGTGTGTGTGTGTGTGTGTGTGTGTGTGTGTGTGTGTGTGTGTGTGTGTGTGTGTGTGTGTGTGTGTGTGTGTATGTGTGTGTGTGTGTGTTTTAGTATGTGTGTGTATGTGTGTGTGTGTGTGTGTTTTAGTATGTGTGTGTATGTGTGTGTGTGTGTGTGTAATTACCTAAGTGTAGTTACAGGATGAGAGCTACGCTCGTGGTGTCCCGTCTTCCCAGTACTCTTTGTCGTATAACGCTTTGAAACTATGTGTATGTGTGTGTGTGTGTGTGCGTGTGTGTAATTACCTAAGTGTAGTTACAGGATGAGAGCTACGCTCGTGGTGTCCCGTCTTCCCAGTACTCTTTGTCGTATAACGCTTTGAAACTACTGACGGTCTTGCAGTGGGTGTGTGTGGGTGTGTATGTGTATGTGTATGTGTGTGTGTGTGTGTGTGTGTGTGTAATTACCTAAGTGTAGTTACAGGATGAGAGCTATACGCTCGTGGTGTCCCGTCTTCCCAGTACTCTTTGTCGTATAACGCTTTGAAACTACTGACGGTCTTGTAGTGGGTGTGTGTGGGTGTACTTATCTAGTTGTGCTTGCAGGGGTTGAGTTCTGGCTCTTTGGTCCCGCCTCTCAACCGTCGATCAACTGACGTACAGGTTCATATCTACATTTGAAACTGTGTATGGAGTCAGCCTCTACCACATCACTGCCTAATGCATTCCATCTGTTAACTACTCTGACAATGAAAAAGTTCTTTCTAACGTCTCTGTGGCTCATTTGGTTACTCAGTTTCTACCTGTGTTCCCTTGTTCGCGTCCCACCCGTGTTACACAGTTTATCTCTATCCTGTCGATTCTCCTGAGAATTTTGTAGGTGGTTATCATGTCTCCCCTTACTCTTCTGTCTTCCAGCGACGTGAAGTTTAGCTCCCTTAGCCTTTCCTCGTAGCTCATACCTCTCAGTTCTGGGACTAGGCTGCGTGACTTGTATGTTGTATGGTGTAGTGTGTATGTTGTATGTTGTAGTGTGTCGGAGTGTATGTGTTGTATGCTGTAGTGTATGCATTGAGTTGTATGTTGTAATGTATGTGTTGTATGCTGTAGTGTATGCATTGAGTTGTATGTTGTAATGTATGTGTTGTATGCTGTAGAGTATGCGTTGAGTTGTATGTTGTAGTATATTGTATGTGTTTAGCTGTATGTTGTTGTATGTTTATATTGAATGTTCTGTTGTATGATGTAGTGAATGTTGCTGTATGATGTGGTGTATGATGTAGTGAATGTTGCTGTATGATGTAGTGAATGTTGCTGTATGATGTGGTGTATGATGTAGTGAATGTTGCTGTATGATGTAGTGAATGTTGCTGTATGATGTGGTGTATGATGTAGTGAATGTTGCTGTATGATGTAGTGAATGTTGCTGTATGATGTGGTGTATGATGTAGTGAATGTTGCTGTATGATGTGGTGTATGATGTGGTGTATGTTGTAGTGGATGTTGTAGTGTATGTTGTAGTGTATGTTGTAGTGAATGTTGTAGTGTATGATGTATTGTATGCTCTGTTGTATTAGTAGTGTAGCTGTTGTAGAGGTGAAGGATATTGTAGTCTGGTGTAGTTATATGTAACTTGCTCTGCTATGTAACTATTGCTGCTATGTGTAGCGCTATGCTGCTATGTGTAGCGCTGTGCTGCTCTGTGTAGCGCTGTTCTGCTATGTGTAGCGCTGTGCTGCTATGTGTAGCGCTGTGCTGCTATGTGTAGCGCTGTGCTGCTATGTGTAGCGCTGTGCTGCTCTGTGTAGCGCTATGCTGCTCTGTGTAGCGCTGTGCTGCTATGTGTAGCGCTGTGCTGCTATGTGTAGCGCTGTGCTGCTCTGTGTAGCGCTGTGCTGCTATGTGTAGCGCTGTGCTGCTATGTGTAGCGCTGTTCTGCTATGTGTAGCGCTGTGCTGCTATGTGTAGCGCTGTGCTGCTATGTGTAGCGCTGTGCTGCTATGTGTAGCGCTGTGCTGCTATGTGTAGCGCTGTGCTGCTATGTGTAGCGCTGTGCTGCTATGTGTAGCGCTATGTCAACCCAACGTTTGGTGTACCTTGCCCAATATGCGCTACAACACCCAAACATAGTGTTTACTTAGACCCTATTCATTCAATTTAGAGGTTAGGTAGACTCTCAGAAGCTCAGGTCTGGTTAGACGCACGTGCAGCAGCCTCCCAGTCTAGCCTAACCTTGTCTAACCCTGTCAAACCCTTCCTAACCTCGTCTAACCCTGTCAAACCCTTCCTAACCTCGTCTAACCCTGTCAAACCCTTCCTAACCTCGTCTAACCCTGTCAAACCCTTCCTAACCTCGTCTAACCCTGTCAAACCCTTCCTAACCTTGTCTAACCCTGTCAAACCCTTCCTAACCTTGTCTAACCCTGTCAAACCCTTCCTAACCTCGTCTAACCCTGTCAAACCCTTCCTAACCTCGTCTAACCCTGTCAAACCCTATCTAACCTTTGCCTAACCCTGTCAAACCCTTCCTAATTTTTCCTAACCCTGTCAAACCCTTCCTAGCCTTGTCAATCCCTGTCAAACTCTTCCTAACCTCGTCTAACCCTGTCAAACCCTTCCTAACTTTGTCAAACCCTTCCTAACCTTGCCTAACCCTGTCAGACCCTTCCTAACCTTATCTAACCCTGTCAAACCCTTCCTAACCCTGCCAAACCCTTCCTAACCTCGTCTAACCCTGTCAAACCCTATCTAACCTAGCCTAAACTTGACTAATGCAGCCTAACCTTATCGAACCCTAGCCTAATCTAAACTAACCAAACCTAATCCAACCTAACCTTACCTAGCCTAACCTAACCTTACCTATCCCAACCTAACCTTACCTATCCCAACCTAACCTTACCTATCCCAACCTAACCTTACCTAGCCTAACCTGAGTAACAGGGCAAGTTCTGTCAAAGGGTTGGATAGATATGTTCTGTTGAGTCTATTGCAGTTTCCAATAGATCGTCCCATGACTGGACATATGTATGTCACATATGTAGAGAGACTAATTGTGTGTGTGTGTAGGTATAGACACACATGGTACAGTTATCTTCGCTATAGCAATACCCGGCTATCGTGACTACGTTACTGATATATGAGCGATCCCCTATACGCAAGGACACTATAGGACTCTCGCCATATATCATGTCCCCAACTCCTTACTATAACAACGCCATAGTCATAGTTGTTGATGATAATGTTTAAATTACTTCATGGCTGTTTATTTGGTTTAATGTATTTTAGATTTATTTAATGATTAGTAAATATTATTGTTATCCTTATACCATTTATTGTATTATACACTGACAGTTGTATTGAAGATGAATATTGTTCACATAATACATCAGTTGTATAGCATGACATATTGGAATTAATTTTATTTAATGTGTTACATAGTTTATTTCAGTTACATAGTTACATAGTTACATAGTAATGGATTTCAGCTAGAACTTTAATCTTATGACTTTTATTATTTTTAACTAAAAATTACACTAGAAAATATATGTATCATTGAACGATCACAAACCTAACTTAACCTAACCTTGCCTAACTTAACCTAACTTAAACTAGCCTAATCTAACTTAACCTAACCTTGCCTAACTTAACCTAACTTAAACTAGCCTAATCTAGCTTAACCTAATATAGAAAAATCAAAACCTAGACTGTACAAAAGGTTTCTTATGTCATCCAGAAACTAACATTGCCTAACACTAAGGTCATAGTGTAGGTGGTTCTTGCAACACTGTTGGTGACAGTGTTGCACCACTACCACGTGCAACACAGCTATAGTGATCACCACCATCACTAACCACAATCAGTAACCACCATCACTCACTCTTTGCTTTCCTATCAAGCTTACCTGTTTTGAACAATCATCAACAATACAAGTTTTTGTTATGTTAATCCACACTATCTTCCTACCCACACTATCTGCCTCACCCACACTATCTGCCTCCACCCACACTATCTGCCTCCACCCACACTATCTGTCTCCACCCACACTATCTGTCTCCACCCACACTATCTGCCTCCACCCACACTATCTGCCTCCACCCACACTATCTGCCTCCACCCACACTATCTGCCTCTACCCACACTATCTGCCTCCACCCACACTATCTGCCTCCACCCACACTATCTGCCTCCACCCACACTATCTGCCTCCACCCACACTATCTGCCTCCACCCACACTATCTGTCTCCACCCACACTATCTTCCACCACCCACACTATCTGCCTCCACCCCACACTATCTGTGTACACCCACACTATCTGCCTCCACCCACACTATCTGTCTCCACCCACACTATCTGCCTCCACCCACACTATCTGCCTCCACCCACACTATCTGCCTCACCCACACCATCTGCCTCACCCACACCCACAGGTGGTACCAACACCCATATGTCAATCCATTCCCTTGAAATGAAACTACTGTTTTGTAATTATCGTACCACTATGTACTAATGGGACCTCCAGTAAGCCACTTTTTTGTGCTGTTTTTGTATAAAAGTCCTGAAAAATAAAGCTAAAACCCAAACTTAAATATTCCTAGGGCTTAGAATAGTATATATATGTACTATATTAGGGCCTCAGATAGCGTGTATCAAGCCTAGGACGGTTAGGTTAGGGTTTATGAACTCCAATGTTAATTGGAGTTAATTAACACCCACCTGTTAAAAATACCTATACCAACTTATGTACACAAATCATTAACACCCCAGAGGTTCTTGTTCAACACCTACACACACTCGCTGCGTGGCACCATTAATGCCATTTTCCTGTCTCTCCACAGCGGCGCGGGCATGGTTGGCAATAACCCGTTGGCAGAGATCGCGACTATGGGCATGAAGGCACTCAAACTCCAGAAACTCCGCGTCCGCCATTTTGTTAATCGTACCCTTGGCACGAACAGTACTAGTTAGTTAGATTAGCTGCAACTAATTTAACAAAAAGAAGGGGGAAGGGGGGGGGAAGGGGATTGTGAGAAGGAAGATATCTTTAGTCTAAGGTGACGAGTAAGGACTATGAAGCGTTACCAAATTGGGGGTCGCCCGGCAAAGAAAATTTTCTTCGTGGGCTTGTCTCGAAACAACGAGAGAGCCTGTGTGTGTGTGTGCGTGTGTGTGCGTGTGTGTGTGTGTGTGCGTGTGCGTGTGCGTGTGTGTGTGTGTGTGTGTGTGTGTGTGTGTGTGTGTGTGTGTGTGTGTGTGTGTGTGTGTGTGTGTGTGTGTGTGTGTTTTCCATGGGGCATTTTAGGCCACTATCGAGCGTAGAAATTTGCTTGTTCTCCAGCGCCTCATTTTACTCTACTGATACCAGGCATAAAGAATGTCAGGTGGGAAAAAAAATCTTCCTGAGACTCTCGCAATTTAAAGATTTTAATGAAATAATGGATAATCGTTGGTCATATTTGTTTACCAAAACCTGTATCTGAAGCTTGCTGATGACAAATGTGATTTAGGGGGTGTGAACGGCAGGTGAAAATAAGAAAAAACTGTTCTTTCAAGTTGAGAGAGAGAGAGAGAGAGAGAGAGAGAGAGAGAGAGAGAGAGAGAGAGAGAGAGAGAGAGAGAGAGAGAGAGAGAGAGAGAGAGAGAGAGAGAGAGAGAGAGAGAGAGAGAGAGAGAGAGAATGACCTCTTCCAATTCTCCCTTTACTACTTCAAGACTGTATAACTAAGTTCATTTCATCCTCTTGCCACAAACCTGGGTTAGACAGGACTGGCTTGGTCCCCTTACTACCCATTTCTTCACCACTAATCAGGTTCTGAATGTAAAAATCAGCCAATTTGGGTTAAAACCCAGAAACCATCATCCCGGCTTCTATTTAACACCATTCATACTTAGGAAAGCCTAAAGTAAAAGGTCTCTGGAACTAACAAAAATCAGAGGTTCTCAGTCCAGATGACCATGCAGTCACCTTAGAACATGACGAACACAACCTCATGTTATGCTAAGTTGTATAAGTTCACTGTCGGTATTACCTTTGGGTTTCCAAGCCTACTTTCAGGCTTCATGAACTTGGGGGTTGGGAGGGCTTCTCAGCCGTTGTCCGTGCCTGAGGCTTTAGGGTTAAGTTCAAAAGATACAAACTGGACCCTTTGTCAGAATGCTGATCCAGCAGGTTGAGGAATTATGTTGAGAAAAAGTCTTTCAAAAAAGGTACTTTATATCCCTTGAGCAAATTAGTAATTATTCTCTAAATGGAATGATAAAAGTAAATCTGCTTAAATCAGCATTTTAGGCAATAGATCTTATTGAACTAACATGTTAGCGGGTTAATCGCTAAACGACAAGGATCACGTTTTCTGTTAACCCAGCTTCGTCCTTCCACAGAAAACGGGCATCAGACAGAGAAAATCTTCCAAAGTCTAGATTCGTGCTTCTAATGTTTAACATTACTCACATACAATGTTTACATTGCCTTCAACACAAGAACGGCTATGTATATATATATATGTCTAGTTACAGCGTGGTTACAGCTGAAGTTACATAATTTCCCCTACCATTTATCTCAAACCTAACGTTATACTCTGCTCATGTAATATTTGGGGAAATTATATGATTCAAAACTTTTTAAACAATATACATAATGGAAAAAAATGTAAAGGTTTTTGGAACATGAATTTATCATAAATCAAAATTATGGGTGAAATAACATCTTAAATTTTGATTTTGATTAAAAACTGTTATCAGAAAACCATGAAATGTGAAACGTTTCCTAAGTCTTGCGTTATCTAGTTTTCTAACGTGTCAGTAAATATATAAATAAAAATTAATTTCTTGGGGTAACTATAATTATGGTGGCGCCAGCCTGTCTCTGTACCTTGAGGCAACTGCATTTATTAAGCAATTTATTAAGCAATTGCAATTTAGCATTTAACTCTCTGTTTTTCTTCTCTAACCTTTCTACCTTTTCGAGAAAAAAAAATTCTTGTGCTCCATATCCTATCGAATATATCTTTATACATATATGTTAAACTATAATATTAAAGCTTATTTTCTGAAACTCCACGAAACAGTGGAAATATAATGTTACTATTATCCACACCTGGAAATGGAACAGACATGGAAATAGACTGTTTTCTGATGTAGCTTGTAGCGCATGAGAGTGGGCAACCCCGCAACCACACTACACCCCTTGTTTGGAACAGCTTACATATAGTCTATCTATATTACTTTTAAATACCTATACCTCAGTTACACTATGTAATTAAGATATATATATATATATATATATATATATATATATATATATATATATATATATATATATATATATATATATATATATATGACTAATGGTCTCCTTGTTGACGAGTATGCTCCCTCTCTGCGCAATCGCTTCCGTGTCTTGCTCCGACTCCAGAGTGTAGTATTGATGTTATTGAAAGAATGTTATGTAATTAAAGGTCTTTTTTTTTAGAAAGTCCCTCGATGACAGACAGACTCTGAGGTTGATGCCAACAGATCTCCCAAGCCATAAGAGTAATTCAAGATGGCGATGTACTCAGCTACATGGGTCGACCAGGCTTCACATGGGTCACTACCGGACAGCCAGCCCATGTTAGCCTGGTCGACTCCGCTTTGAGTACCAACCAGTACTTCTTGTGCATGAATATTTCTGGTCATTTCTAAGTTATCGAGGACTATAAGTAAGTACTTTTCTCCGGCCAATGGTGATATGTGGCTACACTCTCTTGTTACTTATGTCCGTGTTGTTCTAAGAACGTTGTGTCAATATCGAAAATATAAAAAAAAAAATTGTCTTACAGTCCAACGTTGCCAGATGCAGGGACCTTGTGTCCGGCATTCCATTATGTGGGTTCTGTTCATCAAACTCATCCCTAGACAGTATATAAAAGTCATTTAATAAACGCCTTTATAAGCGTATCATTAAGATGCATATCATCGCAGTGAAGAGTAATTATGTTGCATGTCTGGCGTCGTTGCTGCGACCCGTCAACAAGGTATAATATAATGCTTGTGTACAAAAAATACGAATTTAAAATCAAAATTATCCTATATGAAGCCTAATACACATGTCTAAAATCCTTGGAATCTATTATATACAATAACAATAATTGTTTTTTTTGGGTTTTAAAAACAGGTAAAATACAAGTTGTCGGGTCTCTGACTTAAATGTTTAACTTCATTTAATTCATTTAAGAGTTTTCAATAACAAATAAAGGTCTTCTGTTATGAAGTTGGTTTTATTAATAATCTTCGAACACCTTAAACAAACATACACAATGAATTATGTCATCAGCAGTATTCATTATCCAACTCCATTCTCCTATGTTGACCATTCCTCAATGCAGACAGCAAGGCGTAATAGTCTGGCTGAACATAACATACACAACCCACATATCTGATATTAAAGTGACGATCTTTCTGTTCTTACTGGACCATTACCAAGCCCTGGGCCACTATCAGGTCCCGGGCCACTATCAAGCCCTAGGCCACTATACAAGCCCCGGGCCACTATCAACCCCTGGGCCACTATCAAGCCCTAGGCCACTATCAAGCCCTAGGCCACTATACAAGCCCCGGGCCACTATCAACCCCTGGGCCACTATCAAGCCCCGGGCCACTATCAAGCCCTAGGCCACTATCAAGCCCCGGGCCACTATCAAGCCCTAGGCCACTATACAAGCCCCGGGCCACTATCAAGCCCCGGGCCACTATCAAGCCCTAGGCCACTATACAAGCCCCGGGCCACTATCAACCCCTGGGCCACTATACAAGCCCCGGGCCACTATACAAGCCCTAGGCCACTATCAAGCCCCGGGCCACTATCAAGCCCTAGGCCACTATACAAGCCCTAGGCCACTATCAAGCCCCGGGCCACTATCAAGCCCTAGGCCACTATACAAGCCCTAGGCCACTATCAAGCCCCGGGCCACTATCAAGCCCTAGGCCACTATACAAGCCCGGGCCACTATCAACCCCTGGGCCACTATCAAGCCCCGGGCCACTATCAAGCCCTAGGCCACTATCAAGCCCCGGGCCACTATCAACCCCTAGGCCACTATCAAGCCCCGGGCCACTATCAAGCCCTAGGCCACTATACAAGCCCCGGGCCACTATCAAGCCCCGGGCCACTATCAAGCCCCGGGCCACTATCAAGCCCCGGGCCACTATCAAGCCCCGGGCCACTATCAAGCCCCGGGCCACTATGAAGAAGCTGTAGAAGGTAATCGAGGCTAATATGAAGGAATATTTCAACAATTCTAATGTTTGAATATATGTTTTTATCCCACATCCTAATGAACATTTAATAGGAAATAAATACGATACGATTGAATACATTTAAATACATTTGTTCAAACAAAAATAAACAAAAAATAAATTTTTCTTAAAGAAAAATATGAAATTGGGCCGCAAGAAATTGCCTATTGTGAGATATTTAATGGAATTATGAATTTTGTTGCAAATAACAAAGTTGGATACAATTAAATAAATAGCCTATTGTGGAACATCTTAGGAAACTGAGAATTTTAATAATAAAATTTAGCCTATATTTTATATTATATAGCCCAATTTAGCCTATTTTTTATATTATATAGCCCAATTTAGCCTATTTTTTATATTATATAGCCCAATTTAGCCTATATTTTATATTATATAGCCCAATTTAGCCTATATTTTATATTATATAGCCCAATTTAGCCTATATATATATAGCCCAATTTAGCCTATTTTTTATATATATATAGCCCAATTTAGCCTATTTTTTATATTATATAGCCCAATTTAGCCTATTTTTTATATTATATAGCCCAATTTAGCCTATTTTTTATATTATATAGCCCAATTTAGCCTATATTTTATATTATATAGCCCAATTTAGCCTATATTTTATATTATATAGCCCAATTTAGCCTATATTTTATATTATATAGCCCAATTTAGCCTATTTTTTATATTATATAGCCCAATTTAGCCTATTTTTTATATTATATAGCCCAATTTAGCCTATTTTTTATATTATATAGCCCAATTTAGCCTATTTTTTATATTATATAGCCCAATTTAGCCTATTTTTTATATTATATAGCCCAATTTAGCCTATATTTTATATTATATAGCCCAATTTAGCCTATTTTTATATTTTCAAGGAAATTAATAATATTATTAATAAAATCGGGTCCAATTAAAAAAAAAAATGGTGAGATTATTAA